AGAATTTGCCTACTATCCTTTCACTGTAGCTTACAGTTACTACAAAGCTGTGTTTTATGGGCTTGAAAAGTTATACAGCCCCCCTCTTTGGGGACTCCATTGTATCAGATATTTTGCAGTACTGCCAGAAATAACCAAACCCTTCATGAACTAAAGGGTTATTGCTGGCATGGAATTTCCTTTGTTCCAATTACAGAATCTCATTTTTCTGCCTTGCTTCCAATTGTGCTTTCATTGTTTATGATTTGTATGATTAAAACAAACCACGGTACATTGGCAACAGCAGGGAAATCTGAGACTCTAGCTTGAAGAAGAGATTTGGCAAGGTGCTAAAAATATATTAATTTTGAAGTGGTACAAAGAGAACAAGAGCTATGCTGGTGATTTAGATTAATGTACACGTTTGTCTTGAGAAATTTGGAAATGGCAATATCTAACAGTAATGCTTAATGTGCTTACAAGTTTTGCAGTGGGCAGATGTTGCTGTCATTCTATTCAGAACAGCTTGAAAGGAATATACTCGTGTAAGCAGATTATTAAACTCTGAGAATCTAGATTTTAATAGGCTTTTAGTACTAAATGCTGCAAAACCCTGATACTGTATATAAGGCTCAAATCACCTTTGAGATTCCAATGCCTAGCTCCCACAGGAACTGAGGTGAGTTTTATATCTTAGCACCTACTTGATTTAAGCTGAAGGCTTTAAATGAGCTAATTATTCAGTCAGGACTCCAGTGATAAGAATCACTCTCTGTTTTTTCTCTACATTGAATGGAGATAAGGGTAAGAGAGGCTGGACAACATCTCCCCACCTCACCCCACCAGCATGAGGTCTGGTGAGAGGAGGGGGCATGAAGACAAACAGAGGCAAGGAGGGGCATTACAGAAACCCTCGCTTAGGCAGCGTTAAGCTGTTGCACACCCACCCTGTCTACATGTCTGTCTCAGGGAATTGCCTGGAATTGAGCCTAGGAAAGCTGCAAAGAGGTGTACAGGGATGTAAAGAGACAGAGGAAGATCCAGCAGGTCTGGGCTCCAGCTACCACCAACACTCAAGCACTGTGACCCCTCAACAAGCTCTTAGCAAGTGGTAAAATGTGCCATGTGTGGCATTTGCTGTGACTCTTTCTGGCACCCCATAAAAGCACAATGTGTTTTTGCACACTTTGAAAAGTGTGAAAAGCAAGAATGTGTTGCCTTTTATTTTTTCTTCCCTCTTTGGCTTATGTTCTTCAACCACACAGCAACAGCACAGCAAAAGACAAAGGTATTTCTCTGCCTGACCAGAAAAATCAACCTCCCTTGTACAGTTCTTGCTGTTTGCAAGCAATTATTTCAAGGCACCATGTCCTAAATCCACAATAGGGATGGCAATCAAACTATTAACCCAAAGACAACACCTCAGGAAGGAGGATGAATTCTTGCCATTACACTGTGCAACATGGAGAAGTAAACGACCACATAGGATCACAGAGTAACACTCAGTAAAAGAAAATGAGGGATGAATCATATTAAAAAGCCTGGAATACACAAAGCAGGAGTGATCCATCAACAGAGCACATTGCATGGCAACGCCACCACAAGCCAAGGTGTAGAAAGCTCTCAGTCAAGTGGGTTCTCAGAGCTTCTCATCTCAGGGGGCTTGCAAGGGGCTGCACCAGGCAAGGAGTGCAACCAGTGCATCATAACCTTTCCCCATCAGTGGGAAATCTCAGAGCCAGGGGTGAAACAAGAACATAACTCTACAAGTAGAGTTGCACCTTGACTGCCGCAACAAGCAAAGCAGAGTCTGAACAGGACTGCACAGAAATGGTTTGCTGTGTCAGGAGGAAAGCAGGATGAAATACTCCAGCCAGCTGCTGCATTGCACTGAAGCCCCAGACAAACACTCCACCTTCAATCAGGGCAGTGGGAGTTAAGGGCAGAGGATGGTTCAAGGCTCAAATTGGGAAATGAGACCCAGTGGAAAGGCACTGAGCGTGTCCGGCCCGTGGGGAGGAGGGACATTCTCACTGTCTGCGGATAACAAAGCACTGGCATAAACAGGATAGAGTAAATACTGATTCAGAAAAACCACAAGAGGAGGAGCATGGGGTGCAGAAGGGGCTGTTTGCGTCAAATAACAGGATACACATTGTCGGTATTATTTAGTACTTGAGAGCATTGGCAAGGGGCTGTGAATTTGCTATTCCAGGCATGACTTAATATGTTATAGGAAAAAGGCTTTGAATAACTAGCAAATTCTGTTGTGACAGAGAGATCAGAAAACAGAGAAACCAGCAGGGCCCCTCTTTAACTTAATGAATGCTTGGATACTGCATTCAAGACGTAAGAGGTAAATAACCACAAACCCTACAGGAATGCCACCAAATCCTAGACATGTCTATGTAGATGCTCACACCAACACTGCAATGCCCCAGCAGTTTTACCCATCGTCTGCTCAGCACCAGACACTGAAACACATGGAAACACGTCATCCAGCCAAAACATCACTCTCCCCTGGTCTGCACCTGATGCTGCAAAACTTTCAGCAGCTTCAGCAGGTGCTTTCTAATCAATCCAGGAACGTCCTGCCCTGCTGTGTTGTCCCCCAACACACATCAGCTTGGCTGAAGCCGCCCATGAGGACCAGGGCTTGTGAATGTGAGGCTGCTCCTGTTTGTCCATAGAGGGAGGGCCTCATCCACTCAGTCTTCCAGGTCTGGTGGCCTGAAGCAGAGCCTGACTATATCACCTGTCCCTGCCCTCCCTTTAATCCTGACCCACTGGGTCAGCCCTCCATCCGTTCCCAGGAACTCCATGTGCTCTAGATGGTCACTCACATAGAGGGTGACATCTACCCTTGCCTGTCCTTTCTAAAGAGCCTGTATCCCTCCCTTCCAACACTCCAGTCATAGGAGCCATCCTACCACACCTCTGCCACCTTTCTTTCTGGGAACCACTACATGTGTGGGGCAACTACCAGGCCAGTACCCTGAAATTAATACTAGATATTCAAAACACACCAAACTTCTCGCAAAAAGTGGTAACATGGAGACTGATGACCAACAAAACACCAGTCCAGCAGGAGAATTGCTGCTGCCACGCCAGAAACACTCCAGCACTTAACACACATTCTCAGAGCTGTTGCATAAGAGCTCCCACACCATGAACAGCTGCTTGGCTCCCTCTTGGGGAAAAAACTGAAATAAAGGAACTGGCAGTTTGGGGTACTTGAGCATTGTTACCTTAAATGCTCCTGATTTTCAGGAATCCTCCCAGACTCTTGGAAACAGATGCTAGGCTGGGAAGTTCAAGCATGTGAAGCAGTCAGGTTTGACTCTGCATGAAGCAATGCAATTGGCTTTAGAGATAATTTTAACTACATGCTTGCTTCTGTTTGAAACATTCTGCAAATGGGTCCTGAAAGGGGAGCTCCCTGGACCATCACCTTAGCTCAGCTTCATTTAGCTGAGTTCTCCCTGGTAGTTTCACTGGCAGAAACACCACCAGGTATGAGACACTTTCTCAGCCCATGGAGCAGAGGGCCAACCCTGGGAAGCGTTACAGCTGCAGATGCTAAAAACACAAGGTGGGAACTTAACATTTGAGGGGAGATCTGGACTCAGCACCTTTCCATTGCTACCACTTCACCCAGCTGTGGCATCACCTGGACCTGGACCCGGGCCACTGGCCATGGCCCCAGTGAACTGTCATAAGAGAAGACCTCACCCTCAGTCTTCCTCTCCAGAGCTGCAGTGTTTATAGCTCTGCTTGAAAAGCTGTAATTAACAGCCAGTGAGACAATATTGAAATAATTTTTTTTTCCCCCCAACTGAACTTCTCAGTTAGGCACAGAAACGCGAGATTTTCCAGAAATAGGTACCATTAGAGGACACATTTTTCCTTAGGCACTGTAAGTTCATTTTATTAAGCGTGTGATCTTAGATGCTTGAGTCATTTTCTTTCAAACTAGAGTTTGATGCTATTTTGGTCTATTCAGTGTTTCAGGTCAGTATTGCAAGTACAGGCTAATTACCACCTGAGGTTACTGATCAAGAAGTCATAATTAGTATCTCAACATTTCACCACTTCTTGATTTTATTTCTGTTTCTTCCCTTATGCAAACTACTTAATAGCAAAGGATGCCTTGCAAAGGTAGGTGATTAGAGGAGATTTATGTATAATTATAAAAAACATTTCCAAGTTCTATTTCCACATTATTTAACATTCCCAAGGGGCATTTTTTGCAAGAAAAATTTCCATTTCTATTAACACTTCCTTCCCCATTATGCTATAAGTTCTGCATTTGCCTGTCTCCATTAATCTCACAGCTACCAGCAGAACATCCTCAGAACCAGTGAATGGGGCAGGGAAAAGTGGCCAGTGCATGAGCTGGACCTTGGTGTGAGTGGCTCGGTCCAGAGAGGACAGCCAGGGCTTTGTGGTGGGAAGATGGTCAGATGGCAGCAGTTGCACCAACACAGCTCAGTGGTCCTGACCTCCTTCAGCACAGAGATATGTCAAGGAGAAACTCAACAAGGTGGTCTTCCCTGTCCCTCCCTGGGTGGGGCAGGGGATGCCAAACACGCTGCCCTGCTACCACTGCACGGAGCCGGTTGGAGACATCCCCACCCCAGGCTGTGCATGGTGGCAATGCCTTCATTGCTGCCCCAGAGGAGCCATCCCTGGCACTGCGGTGCACCCTCCCACAGGAGCATGGCTGTGTCAAGCTGCTGCTGCTCTCCTGTCTCTGGCCCACAGCTGCCAACCCACCCTGACCTAAACCAGTCAGGGATGCAGGGTTTTCACTGAGCAGAAAACTCAGTGGAGAGCAGCACACAACCACTTCTCTCCATGCAGACTTTGCACATCCATCTGAGCTGCAGCACAGCTGGACACTTGCTCTGCTCGAGGTTCTTTAGAGAGTGAGTAGTGTCCTGGTCACAGACTGCTCAGGTACCTGGTGAGAAAGAGATAAGCAGTGATGGGGAGAGGGAGGGAAGGGAGATGTGACTCACCTCTCCACAACTTCTTGTCCATTCCAGCAAAGGGTGTCATTCTGAACCGCAGAGCTGTGGTTGCAGATGTACTCTGGCAAGCTGCTGTAAAAACTGCTGTGAGACTTCAGCTTCGCAATGAGTTCCCTGGAAGAAAGGGGGGGGAAACGATGCTCAGTTAAAAGAGGAAGAGAAGATGGGGTTGGTGCATTTTAACCAGCTAAAGTAATCACAAAAACACAACACGAAAGCAACTGAGTGCAAATAAAGCATTAAGCATCAGTTTTGCTCCTGACCTCAAGTAGCTCTTTGCATTGTCCCCTGATGTTAGTGAGTCAAAGGCTGAATCTGTGTTTTCTAGGGCAAAACCTGCTGGTGAAGGGGAGGGATGGTGGGGCAGCAGAACCTTGGCCCAACCGTGCTGCAGGCAAAAGCCAGACACAGTCTCTGCACTCTTATGGCACCTAAGGAGAGGTGTCAGGGGCTGAGGTCATGAATACATGGGGTACATCTGAGCAGCAAGTGCTCAGGCTGACAGCAGTCCTCTCCACTTTGCAGAAAGCAAGAGAGGCCCTTCAGGGACTTTGCCTGACATTGGCCATCCAACATCCCTGCAAAGGCAAGTAGCATTTCTGGTGGCAGACCAGAGCAGGTACTCTCAGCACAAACCTGTACACATGGGTAACACTGTGTCTCATGTTGTACCACCAGAAGTACACGACTTCAAGGTGTACCCTGGGTTGGACACAGGGCCACAGTGGGCATTCAAAGGGGCAGGTTACACTCACCAAAATGGCTCTGCCCTAGGAAGGCAGGAAGAGCCACAGGAGCAGCGCTTGTACCAGACAGAGGGGATGTGAATCAGGTTGCACCCTGACCTTGCACCCTCCTTTGCCAGCACCAAGGACCTTTGTCCCCAGCTGATCATCTTCAGCAGTGGTCCAGAGATGCCAGAACACAGGCTGACCCCAGGGACTCTGACAGCTGCCAGAAAGGGGACAGGGGCTGTGGGAGTGGTATGTGACATCCCTCCAGCTCAGGTCAATCCCCTTGGGGACACTCAGCAGTTGTCACCAGGAAACACCAAAAGATTTAATCAGGTAAATGGCACTAAAAGTATGATAATGTGAATAGCAGGGACTGAAGGCAGTAAGACTTGTCCTCAGTCTCCTTGCTTGGTTTCAGCATGTTTTCTCCTTTGGCAAAAGTTTATTTCTCAGCCTCCTTCCTCCCTTGGGGGAGGATGAGGAATCAGCACTTGGAGCGCTCTCAGGGCCATCCCCTGGGTGCCACAGTGGGGGAACTCCGTGCCCTGCCAGCTGGGGGGAGCTGCCCTGCAAGCTTAGGCAGTTTGGTGCGCGGAGGGGGTGCCCAGCTCCCTCTGTCCCTCTTTGCTTTGGGATTCCGTGGAGTTCCCTCTCCAGCAGAAGCCCGCGACAGCCAGCTGGGGGCAGGCGACACAAGGAGAAGCCGCGAAGGAGCCTGTGCTCTGCGCTGCCTTTTCACTGCCAGGGAGCCTGTTCCTGCCCTGCTGGGACTGGTACAGCCCCCGCAAGCAGAGCTGCAGCCCACGGAGGCCGAGGGCCACCCAAGTCCTCCCTCTGGCCACCACAGCACATCCTGCACGTGAACTGCAAACACTGACCAGTCTGTCACTGTCCATGACAACAAACAGGAGTTTGTTGAGTCAAAGCCCCTCCAAAGTGTGAGAATTCAGCCCACAGCCTCCTGCACAGACCAGAGAGGCGCTTCAAACAGTCACCTCCTGCATGAATCACCTCCTACATCCATCTCCTGCACTGGCCTTACAGTTGGGCAGGAGGTCCAACCAACACCATTTGGCAAACCAAAATAAGGCAAGACCTAGGTCTTCAGTTAGGTCAAACCACAAGCAGGACAAGCCTCACTGCCCATTGCACCCAGCTCCTCACATCCCAGGCACTGCCTTGCTCCTCTTCCACAAACCCCGACAGCACTGTGGAGAACAGATGGAGGAGAACTTTCCTGGGGAGTAGAGTTCCCTGCTGGGTAGGGAAGGGAGAAACTCCTCTGTATCTGCAGGTATGAGCCCATGTAATTCATCTCTGCAGATTTCATTAGACTTCAGAGTCCTCAAAAGACATCTCCATCAGAGCCTGGGCTGCGTAACCCTCCAAACATGTTGAGACAAGGGAGGAATGCAAGCCCTGGTGCTGCATCTCCTGGGAACCGTATCAAGAATGTGGCCCTGTTAGTTTTCAAAGAGAAATCCATCCAACTTACTCCATCTCCTCAGCTTCAAAAATTGCCAAGCTTGCCTATTTCTCTTCCATGGGGATTTTTCTTGTATTCAAGACAGCAGTAAAGGCACTGCTTATCTCTGGGTGTGCTTTCAGATGTTAAGGGGTAGATGCTGCTCCCTAACACACCAGCATGAGCCCACTTAATTACAGATCCTGTGTACAGGGGGAAGGAAGCACAAGGTGCAGTGCCAGAATTAGAGGCACCTGCTTCACTTACAAAATACTCAGTAAAAGACTGTTAACATTTCTGAACTACCATAAAAACACTACACAAAAAAACCCATGAAATGCATCCCCTTTACCTACACACACAGTGTAACACACAACATTTCAGGCTGGAGTGACCCTTTCCAACTGTGAGTGTTTTTGGCACTACAGCAGTACCCAAGAAACCCAGATGAGGCATTTGGTGTATGAACCTGGATGCCTGGTGGATTGCAAAAAGAAAAAAAAGATGAAAAGTAGAAAGCAGTTTTAGAGGTTAGAAAAGAATGCACTATGTGAAAAAACCCATGTAGACACCTTAAGAGCCAAAACCAGGTTTATAGGTAAGGGAAATAAGGAGCTCTCCCACCCGCTTCCACAGGGCCATCCCATATGGTGACTACTCCTGAAGCCTATCCAGCAGGCACTACACTCAGCCTGAGCATTCTCACCTCCTCCTGCTCGACAAAGTTTCTTCTTGCTCAATGTGAGTCACCTTCAGAACCTTCTTGTCAACGAAAAGGTCTTCAGGGTAATTAGCTGATCGAACCTGCCTCTGCTGAGCATGGCCACATAACCGGCTGATCTGGAAAACACAAACACAGCGGTGTGAGGGAGTGTTGGGAGTAGAAAAACTGCAGGACAATAGCCGAGATGCGCCCTGGCACCTGCACAGGAGCTGGTCTGTCCTGCTGTCATCCCCATCTTGCCCACAGCTCACACGTGCATCTGAAAGCAAACTGCTGCCCTAAGGATACAACCTGGCTTTTGTACAAATACCTGCCCTGTGGCAAGGAATGCAGGAAGCTTCAGGAAAAGTTTTTGGGCATCAAAATGGCCCTGCGGAATTTACCTGTGGAAGGTAAATCCTAAGACCCTGGTTCTGCACAGCAGCTCATCATCTGCACAGGCTGCACTGCAGATACCCAGGGATAAGTATCGCACGCATCGTTACTAATTAAAAGACCCAGGGCCTAAAATACAGCAAGCATTGTGGCCACAGCCCAATCATACCATGGGAGGTCCTGATTAACAGGGCTCTGCTAATGGCACAAATTAGCTCATTAGCATACAGATGATTTGGTAACCGGCTGCAGCAACAAGGGAAGGAATCCCAACCACCTCGTTAAAGCTCTCTCGCATGGCCACCATCCTGAGACTCACCCAGCAGCACTGCAGCCGCCCCTGCAGTCCCTGCTGCAGGTGAATTTGCAGTCATTTCCTCCTCTGGGACACCACCTAGGGACAACTGGCCCCCCATGGCACCACTTGCCGCTGTGACACTCGCCTTTTGACCCACCCTGTGCTGTTCTGCAGGCCTCATCCGCGTTGGGTTGTGAAGGGAGTTCGGCTGATCACTGGGACCACAAAGGCACTGCAGCTAACACCAACCTCTGTTTCTGTGAGCCTCATCCTACCTCACACATTCAGGTTTGGGACCAACCACATACCCATAAAATGCCTGTTCCTTGCAGAACCTCATTTATCTCTGTGCCACACCGAATCAAGGCAGTCAGCTAAACTCCCAGTTAGCTGCACACCGGAGGTTAAAAGCACACCCGCTGCCCAAAGCTACAAGCATCTGATGTGTAAAGAGAAGAGATGAATTCTGTTCTATTACATCCTGCATTTGGGTGGGCAAATAAATTAGTAATGTCACCTCTTTCATTATCAAGAGCAGCACAGTTTGTTTGCTCAGGCTGCCATACAACAAAGAGTAAAATAGAAACCTCCTGGGAGCTGGGCACTGCAGTTTCTGGTTCACAGCACGGTGGGAATAGATGCTGCCACCGGTCCTTCTGCACCTGCAGTTCCCTCTGCCAAAGCAGCTCCTCCTGCAGCTGCCAAGTGAGTAGTTTCTGCAGCATCCTACCTGTTTTTTCTCCTCTTCCCTCCCTTTGGCTGTCTCTCCTCTTCGTCTTGCCAAACCTAAGTCTTGCCGAAGAATGTATCAGCCCTACTGCACTTCCTAAATCATGTAGCAGGCTTCAAACACAGAGGGAGTCAGAAAAATGATCACATTTTAGGTTATTTTCTTTGCCTTTTGGGCTTTCCTTTAGCACTCATCACCCTCTCATAGGATTTGCAGGTAGTCCCCTGATGCAAGCAGACAGGAATAGGAGGAAAACATGGGACAGCAGGAGACCTGGAAAAAGGGCATTTGAGACCTGAGACTCCACGGCTGTGGAATGGGTCTGGACATCCCGTGCTCTCTCTGTGCTGGCTGGTGCCAATATCTCTGCTAAGGGCAGGTCAGCAGGAGAGCGTGAGGATGCACAGGGGGGTCTGTGGACTTTTCCCCTCCAGATGTCAGAGTTGAGACCAGCCGTGAAGCCTCCCCAGGGAAACATAAGGTACACAAAAGCTCTGGAACAGCAGATACAGAGGAAGCAATGCCACAAAGCAGCATCATTGCACCCACACTCTGCATGGCCACGTAAAGCAGAAGAGAGAAGCGGGAAAAGGTCGGATATTTTAAGCTGCCAGTTGTGATGACTCCCTTTGATTCTTCCCAGCTCTTTGAAAAGCCCCTCCTTCCCCTTCCAAAGCCTGGCTTTCAGCTGGCAAAGCCTATTGAACTCAGAGAGAAGAGCAAGTCCAGGATCAAGGCTTTTTCCCAAGAATGCAGAGAGGCACTGAATGGGAGGGGAGGATAAGAGCGACAGTGAGAACAATGGCACCATCCCAGAGTGTGTTCAAACAGCAAAGCAGCCAGGCAGACCAGAGCTGCCTCATCTCCCACCCAGCACCAAAGCACCTCAGCCCTTCTGCTCCCAACTCCTGTACAAGAGCTGCAGCTCAGCTGCATCCTCACAGCCCCATGTGGCATCTGGATACCATGGGCTCCTCGAATTATGGGATCATTAAGGTTCGAAAAGACCTGTACAATCATCAAGTCCAACCGTTGATCATCAAGTCCAAGCACCGATCACTGAGTCCAACCATCCCTCCTGTGAGGGATGAAATCACAAACAGGATCGTGTTGGCTGTGGCATGGGACAGCAAATGAAGTCTTCATGGATAAAAGGTAGAAAGTTTGAGCAGTGCATCCAAGTTTTTACTTATTTATTTATTCAAGCACCAACTAACCTTCTCAGGAAAAAAACCACCAACCTTGCAGCCCATCTTGTGAAGTCACAGCGAAATGGTTGTCACCTTTTAGTCAAACAAACCCCCTGCTGAGGTTTGAACTTAAAATAAAGTGAGTGAATGTATAAGTAACAGATTGCCTGCTCATTTGCAGGGGCGGCATCTTGTGTGCTTTTGGGGGGAGGGAAGGATTTCACAAACCATCTGCCAGAGTCTGCTGGGCCACAAGCGGTCCTAGGACAACAGCTCAGAAATCCTATTTCAATCTTTCCCTCTTTCTGAGTCCCCACTGCAAGCTCAGGAACACATGAACACTGCTTCCCAGTCTCTTCCTAACCACAGCTATTTTAAAGTAAGCTCCAAAAAGTCCAGAAAAATGCCCCTGCATGATAGTCAGAGAAGGGACAACACAAGCTCAGGCCTTGGGGAGAAAAAAAGTGTGATGCTTCATCTGTCCAGGTATCACCTGCTCGGGCAGGACAAGGACAGTCAGCTCCACAGCACAGTGGTGTGCCTGCAAGAGGGACAGCAAGCAGCGTATCTGATGGCATGTGCCAAAAGAGTGTCAAGCAACAGTGGTTAATACCTGGTTTCCTCCCTTTCTATATTTTGCCATGCAAATATAAAATGTGAAATTCAAAGCAAATTGACAGAAGGGAACTGCCGACTCTTCTCCTCAGGCTCTGCACTCTATCAGCTATCAGGGGGATCGTAAATATACACCAGCCCTTATCTAAAGTATAGTCACTGAGAGAGCTGTGCAGTCTCTTAATCCATGTCACAGATGAGGATGAAGTTTGACATACCAGGCCACTAAAAAAACGCATAAGTAAATCAAAGCATAGTGTGTTTTTTAGGCAACAGGAGTTGGAATTTTTGTTTTTAAAAGAATCTGCCAGTCCACCGAAAAACTGCAGCAAGGGGACACCCAGGCAAGCAAAACCCTCCCTAAGACCTGAGCTTTCACAAGCCCCCGAAGCCACTGATACTATAACAGCCAAAGCAACATTTCCCTACCCCAGCTCATTAACAAACTCACTAATTACCCAATTTAATTAGTGTCCTCCATGCCAGCATGACCCTGGCCACGAGGGGAATGCTTTGACTTCTCATGGCCACTACCCACTGCCCCACTTCTTCTATTGCAGCCACAGGGAGGGACCATCCTCAAGTCGGGCACAGCTCCTCGGGCACTGCCTGTGGCCAAGGTCCCCACGCCTGAGGGGGAAGCAGCTGGCTCCCAACACCCCGGGGAGTCACACGCCGTGTAATGGCTCCGCTTGAGAGGGAACATTGATTTGAGAGGAGCACAGGGACGAAGCTAATGGAGTAGCACTATCAGCCAATTTTAACGCTTCCACATTAATTTAAGATAAGAGGTGCCTGAGGACTGCAGGGAACCTGTGGCTGCACGGGAACGATGCACAGTGAGCAGCCAGGACCAGGTCTGCCGCTGCAGCTGCTTCCAGCTGGATCAACCACACAGGTCGACCACGTGGGTGTAAAGCACAATACTGATCCACTGGATACCTGCAGGCACACGAAACTGGGATGACTGAGATAAGCTTAATTTATATTGAAGAAATAGTGACCACAATACCACGTTCTGTGCAAGGATCGGAATTTCGGTGCAGCTGATGGAGGGCAGAATCCCCAGAGGCACTTCCAGCCTGGCTATGGCAGGATGGAATCGCTGATACCACTGAGGCTACACATGGGACCTGCTCTGCTGTCCAGGCATGAGGGAACGTGGCCACACAGGGTAAAAACATCTTGCCCTGCCCATCAGCAAGCAAATCTAGGGGGGCAATGAATTGGAAAGCAGCAGTGTGATCCTCCTGCCAATCTGAGCATTGCTTTTAAGAATAAGAACATTTTAGTAATTTTCTAGATTATTTAAAAAAAAAAAAAAGCTAATCAGCTTCCCCTTGGACAAGAAGAGAGTGCATTAGACACTGCTGGATACCTGCTGCTGCCACTTTTCATTCAGCCCAGGAGCTCCACTCTGCTCTGAAGGAGAGCTTGCTGTATTTGACCTTTGCTTAAACTTTATATGGAGTTTCCATTTGTCTGCTCTATGAACTCTTCTGCTTATAGATTCATTCTCCAGGAAGACACAGTATTTTTTTCCCCTCAAGGGGATGGCCTCATTTTTGAAGATTTCTTCCTGCAATCTCCTCTGCTCTCTAGAGTTCACATAAGTCATTTTATACCTATTCACGAGTTTCCTTTGGGAGAAGCCACACATTAAACTGAAAAACGATTAACTGTTATAATTGATTTGAACACAGTCTCTGAAAGGGTGATTTCCTACAGTATGCACAGAACATCAAGAGACCACAGAAATCAAGAAAACATGCTGTCTTCAGAGGAACCAACTGGTGCCCACTAAATGCTGAGCATCCTTGAGTGATGCATCCCAGTTTGACCAGTAAGGCTGAAAGCCTCAGCACTACAGCTGCCTGCATTGGTGCTTCTTCCCCAGTTCTTTTTAAC